TGCAAAAGGTTTCTCATACTGACCATATGAGTTTTCACCCTGGCCAACCCAAGCGGTTGAACACTAGCACAAACACCTTGAGTATAAAACCAAAGGTAAGGTTGTAAATAAAGATATACAATTATGCTTTATTCAAAGACTACCATCACACTCTAACAACCGGCACCACACACTCTACCCATGCTCCTCACATCCCTCCGGACATTGGCACCACCCCAACCCATACACCAAATAACCCCACTTCCCACAACTCACCTACACCTAACATTTCCCAGTCGTCCGTCCACTCCTTTGGCAGTAACGCCGCAAACGACGCGGATAACACATCTGATGGAACTATCATCGGATTCTAACCCGGAATTTGCCCCTGTCCGAGATTATCATCACTACAAGGACAATTCTACCGACCTTAGTGTTATTGGCGAATGTCATTCTACTCCACACACTCCGTATCCGCAGGATGATTCCAACCTTAGTATCATTGCGGAAAGTGGACCCAGTCCCCATTCACAGCATTCATCTATCGTTGAATCCACACTCTTAACACACGTCCGATTCATCCAACCTACCGATCGCTGTGAACCTACCTTGTTAGAAACATTGGCTATGATGGATCCAACCGTCCCCAAAAGCATAGCTAAAGCTCAAAGCATGCCCGACTGGCCGCTGTGGAAAGCTGCTCTGGATATTGAACATCAAGCTCACATCAGAAACAATCTAGCTGATGTCATCCATCGTTCCCAAGTGCCATCTGATACAAAAATCATTCACTCAAAATATGTACTTGTAAGAAAACATGATGAAAACGGCAAGCTAACAATATATAAGGCACGCATGGTCGCCAGGGGTGACCAGCAAAAATATGGAGACTCCTATAGTGAAACATACGCACCTGCGGCTTCATCAGTGGCGCTTCGAACATTCCTAGCTACTGCTGCATACAAAAATAAGGAGGTGCATCACTTCGACGTTGCGACTGCTTACCTATATGCAAAATTGGATATCCCGATTTACACGTATCCCCCAAAGGGCGCGGTAGAATTAAGATATTATCCCCCGGACACCATTTTAAAACTAAAACGAGGTTTATATGGTCTCAAACAGTCAGAACGACTGTGACAAACTACGATCACTTGGTTTTACAGGGACAGAGGTGGATGAATCTATCTGGTTACACTCCACGAAGGACATAGCCATAGTACTGTATGTTGACGAAATTGCACCAAAAAATCCGTCGTGCATCACAAGACGCCCTCTGGTTATTTACACAACTAGAACAACACTACGTTATCAAGAACCTCGGCCTAGCACGTCACCTCGTCGGCCTTAAGATCCAACAGCACCCCGATGGCAGTATAGGGATTGGTCAGGAAGCATGTATACAAAAACTTCTTGACACATTTTATCTCGCCGACTCACCTACGAAGGCTACCCCGGGTACTCATCTCCCCCTTAGCACACTCACCGTTGCCCCCTGCCAAGAAAAATTTCGTTCACTTTTAGGCACACTGTAAACCCTAAACCCTAAAACCCTATGTCCAGACCCGACATAGCATGTACATTAAACCAGCTCGCGTCCTACAGCAATCAACCGCTCCACTCCCACTGGACTGCTCTGCAACGAATACTTTTATATCTCTCTGCCATCAAACATTTCACACTTAAGTATACCCCCAACACCGACAACACACCACTTGACCAAGCCTTGCAAGCATATTCCGACTCCGATCGGAGCGCATGTCTTGGCACGAGAAAAGCCCAGAGCGGTACACTGGTAACCATCCAAGGCACACCTATCCTATGGAAATCTGCAAAACAAAAGACAATCTCAAGTAGTAGTAGTGAAGCGGAATACATCGCAGCAGCAGAAACAACCAGAAATATTGCTTGGGTACGTAATATACTGGAAGGCATGCATCACACATTACAAGCACCCACACCATTATACACATTGACAACCAATCTGCTATCAAAGTGGCATTAGGCACAGGAACACCAAAAGGTCTCAAACACATTGAGATCAAAGAATACTACATTCGGATTGCGCCCGTCGAAACGCATGAAAACCCTGCTGATTTACTAACCAAAAGTTTATCTCGTCCCAAACACTACTATTTCAGCGCCATGCTACTACATGCCCACGACGATTATTTCACCAAGGCACAATCCGTTCGACTGTTACGTATACTACGTCAACAAACAACAAGAAGCACATTAGAGTTTAGTTTCAGGGGGGTGTAGAGTATGAATTTCTCTCTAAGGAACGAACCTCAACCCTAACGGTATCGGTTCACCCCCAACTTTGCTTCTCAACCGAATTATGATGTATAATCTGGTCCTACTCGGCATCTCGTACTCTGAACTAACCCATTCCACGGCACTACACGGTGCAGACCCGATCCGTACCACAGAGGTGGGTACGCGTGTAGTACATCTAAGAAAATTTTGTTTCTTACTACCTCTAGACGTATGTCTTGATTTCAATCTGTGAAAAATCAAAACTGTCCAATAATGTCCTCTTTGTGCTGCATCTGCTCTAAACATTTTCGCCATTTCTATTTTTTTCTTGTAGTGCGTACAATGGCACTTTGTGGAGGTATGTCTATTGTCACCTTTGTTAGACTTGCAGTACTCGAGCCCAGTATTGGCCCTTACAGTAAACTGCCTTTCTCGGACATTGTTGTAACCGAGCGATAGTGAGTAACTGATCCCACTTTTACGCAAATGATGTTTGCAGTACTGGCATCTGGCACTCCCAGACTGAATAATATCTGCTATGTCATTGAATGTATGATAGCAAGTCTGTAGAGAGGCCTGCTTGCAGGAAATCTGACCGCACTAGCTTGATGGCGGCCGCATTGCCTCTCATGTCAAATTCAGGATGCTTCGATAGAAACTCGAATATTTCCTTGTTCACCACGCGAGTTGGTGAATTGTTGCAGCCAGGGATGTGACCCCTCTTTCGTTTTACTTAGGAAACGACTGTTAAATTACAGGTGATGTTCCTGCATTGCTAAAATTGTATCCCATCGATGACCAAATAATAGCAGCCACAATCAGATCGCCTTGCTTTCGGCAGGCATCAGCGGACTTTGTACTCAAGCACGAACAATGCAGAAAGAATTTTTGGCTGATTGATTATCGTTGTATGCTGCAAACGCCATTCAACTGTTTAACCTTGCGTTATTTGCGACTAATCCTTTCAATACCTCCTAAAGTAATTCACAACATTTTGGAAATGCAGATCTTGGTCACCTTTCAGTCATTGAGCGTCACCTCTTCGTTGTAGTAGTAAACTGCATACTTTAAACAACGCATTCTTGGAAGTGCACGGCACTGTCGAAGATATACCTTGCAGACTACAATAATCATGGTAGTTTTCAAGTGAGTGCTCCGTCGTAGTTGCGAATTGTCCAGGTTGACAATTCAACTGTGTTCAAGCGAGACTGCATTGTTGATACTGTGCCTCCCTTAAACGGTGAATTGTATGCCTTTACAGGCACGGGTCGTAGTACACTGCTACAAAGAGTCATGGCGGACACGTCATCTGCAGTACTCCTGCGGTTGCTACTGGGTAGTGTACCGAACCTGGCGGTAGAATCACTACGTGTCTGCCGTGTCACATCAGGTTGCGCCACCATAATACTGCTTTCTAATTTGGTACGATTATTGTATTTGCGGCAGTCAATTGGCAATCTCGCAGTCAATTGGCAATCTCGCAGTCAATTGGCAATCTAACTTGGTTGTCACTTCTCTTAGAAGAACTTCGGGTGGTGTTAGCATGTACAATCCCTGGTTTCATCTCTTGTGAAAGGCATGCAATTCTTTGACCGCTCCACGGTGCGCCAGATTGTGGTAGTAGCTGCTTGGGAAGAAGTCCTGACTGCATGTCGGTGTAATCCCCCGATTCTGATACAATTCTAGGATGTCGCGCAATCTCACTGTCCCAGTGTACCGTGTTAAGTTGCCCCAACGCCTCGATTCGTCCGCGGCTAAATTCAGCTTCCTTGGTAGATAGGACAAAGCTGCCGCCATTGAATCTGAATATTTTGATACATAACTGCAAGACGTCCGAGTTGTCAATTCCCAAGTTCCGAAGGACTTTGTCGTTTCCTTTAACTGTACATGGCCGTAGATGAGTCGGTCATCACCAACAAGGAGTTGCTGGGTTTTATGTGCCATGCGAGTAGAAGCGAGTCTCTCATTTGTTCCATATTCTTGCAACGAAAGTATAGGTTCCCCTGTTCTTGATGTACGGGATTGCTCCATATCTCAGTTTGGAAACAGGCATTCCCTGTCAGTTCTCGATCTTGGTCCTCCAACTAAACCGCTCTGCTTTGAAATGTAATCAAGTGTTAGTTGAGATGACTTACTTTCTTGAAAGTCGCCCCTGATAGTCGCACCTTGGAGAATGTCAGCTTTATGATGTGCAGTACTTCGGCCAAATACGGAGGTATATTGGGATCCGCAAACGCTGCCCGCTGAATGGATACCAAGTGCGACTGCGATAGTTTCAATGGAACTTTTACTGATTTTTGAATGATACTTCGCAAGTTGTTGTTATCAGTTGAGCTATCTTTGCTCCATAAGAGTTCGTCATCCGAATTTGATTTCTGGAGAAATCGATAATTACTCCCAAATACTCTGATATTCGTACTGCCAACTCTCCTTGTCCTTCTCCCTTTGCCAACTCCAATCCCACCTCGTGATTGAGATTGCTTAAAAATGCAGTGTAGGCATGCTAGCAGTAGTAGGTCGTCCGGTTACAATAACATTCTGATACCATTTGCCCTGACACCATTCGTATTGTATTCATCAGGAGATGGAAGTATCGCGGACTAAATGTTGTCCCCATTGGCAAGGCCAAAAACACCGAAGCTGCCCGGTTCTGTCCCAAAACTGTCACATTTTTTGGGTCTGCCATTCCCAGCGCGTAGAAGTCATCCTTGTAATCCGCTGACAGCATGTGGTCTAATCTTTCGCCCCTAGATGTAGCTTGTCTAGTCCCTCCATGCATTTTTTTCTTCCTTTTGGCGTTTTGATTGATCTTCGCGGGACTGAGTATCAACCGTGCTCGCAACCCATCCAATTTTAGAATCATGAAGTCGATATGGACTAAATATCGTCCCATTTCGCTGCATTTGCGAATCAATCTTTGCTCCTGAAGCCTCATCAGCTCCGTCTTCTCCATCTGATTCGTCACTTCTGGGGTCGAGATCCATTTCCCCCGATTCGATGGCTGCGGGCCCCCCTTCGGACCCCACTCCGGTCGGACCCCGTAGTGTATCGCATCGCATATCTTTCGCAATGCTCCGCACGTCCTTCATTGCCGTAACTTAGAACGTACTCTCGATTATAGAGATACACCACTGATAATTAATATTATTGTATTTGGTTTCTAGGGCTAATTACACCCAGCTATCTGCGGCTAGCCGAACCGTAGAATTGCCCTTAGATACTGTTGTTCTGCCTTAACTGCCTTAGCTTCTCCTTCTCAAACATTTGAGCTTTCTTGTGTCTGCTCTTTCCTTCTTTAGCTGCTGTCACAATGACAGCCTCGTGTTGTTTCTTGACTTGAGTGTTATAAAGTTTCTGCAGTAGAGGGTCCTATTGATTAAATGTGTAGGTTTGGTGCTTTAGGAGTGCTGAGAAATTACTTCCTTTTTGCATTCGTATCTCCTTCAGCTCCAAGGTCAATTTAAAATCCTGGATTAGTTCAACGACTAAACTAATCAGTACAGTTTGTCGTTGTTCAGCGTCGGTGATGTTACCTCAGATCTGCTTCAACGTGATGAGACAGATGTTATACCAATTCTTCAATCGTAGAAACTCGTCCTGAACAGAATTCTTCTGAGTGTCCTTCCAAGGTTTGAGCGAACAAGGTCGTGAACGAAGTTCTCTCGGAAAGGTTACCTCTTCGATAAGATCAGTGTTCACCAGTAACTTGGATTCCCCAGTTGATAAGTTGACTTCTGCCGGTCGTACATTGTCGTGGGAGGCGGTGGCGAATTTTAAATTTGAAGTCCTTCTGAGTGAGGGTCTTATGACGTATAGCCCTGAGGGGCCGTCGATTGAAATTGAGTAGCCCGTACGGTCGAATCCTTCTTGAGCTTGATTTGCCCTAGAAGTCGTTGGGCGATAGCGGTTTGTGCTTCTTCGTTCATACTAGATGTAGATGATTAGGAGTTTTTTTTTTTTGGAATGACCTTCTCTTCGACTAATTAAAGTGAAGGAAAATATGATGAATATCATGAGGTATTACATGAGTTTTATATACTACACCATTATTGCATGGAATAGTGCAGAAGATATTTCGTGGTAGCTCCAGAAATAAATTGTGTTGATTTACGTAGCTAGCGGCGGAGTAAATAATTATGTAACACAGCTCAAGCAATTTAGGAAACAACCAACCACTATTACCGAATCATATTCCAACATTTGATGATGTAGAACATCTCAGAAAATGTAAAACGCATGTACATAAATGAAATTTTATTTAGAGTAGCTCTGGTC